TTTTAGCCACCCAACAACGCTCACTCACAGTGATACTCAGCCAAAGAGGGAGTGTGGGGGTTCAACAAGTTGAATGTGGGTTCAGTGCTAAGGCCCAGAGGATGTAGTGCTGTTAAGGTCTTGCAGTGCAAGCCCTGGATCATTTCAGGCCATCCCGGTTGTGCTAGGCATGAGGTTACCCCTGGGATCAAATCAGGTTGGTGCTTGCTCGGTATGCATCCTAACTTCTGTATTATCCTCAGGTCCCTGTGAAAAGAATGTTTTGCCTCTTGAGGTTTTTCTCCCTACTTTTCAAAGGTTTGGCTTTTTTGAGCCAGTATTATCTGAAAATGGTAATACTGTACTTGTGTGCTATATTAAGATCTCCTCCCAAATCTACACTCTAACAGACGTAATTTGGCGAATTTCACATGGTTGTTTTATTTGTTTTTGACATTACAGAGAGTTCCAGTATTTATTCTAAATAGTGCTTGAGATGGTAAAAGGCAGTAAACTCAAGCACCGTTAACGTCACAATCTAGAATGCATGTGATTTGTAGTGTAAATTGAATCTAATTTCCCACATTTTATTGAAGTCTTCATCACCCTTTTATGTATTTAATGTTAGCTATCTCATTATACACTTTTAATATGATCCTTTACTCTAAAATTAGTTATAAGGAGACAGTTACAGCACCATAATACAGAGAAGATAGTGAGGGCTTAGAAATAACAATGAAATCATTAATGACTTTCATGTTATAGATAATACCATGTAAAAGTAAAGTAAAGTAAAGACCCTCCCGTTGATCATCGATTTGCTCGAGCGGGTCCAGTAACGTCTCCATTGGAGACTTTGTTGTTACTGTGTCTGGCATATCGAATACTCTCGGTAGCTTGCCGGGCTCTCCGAGAGGGGCGGAGGAATCGAACTCGGGTCGGCCATGTTGGCTGCGTGCAAGGCAAACACCCTACCCGCTGTGCTATCGCTCCAGTATGAAATGAAATTTTATTATTGTGCTTTAACACTAAGCCCCAAACTATGTGTATATAATTATGTGTATATAAAATATAGTGTTTGATTCATAAAGAAAAACTTACTACACATGAAAAAATATAATATCACTGTATCACTGTATCACTGCCATGCCCTTGTTCATTGATTTACTCCAGTGGACACCAGTAACATCTTCATTCCTCCCAGCCTTGAGATTTTAGGAGCCTCTCCTTACTTGTCTTTCCCAACGCTGCAATATTGGAGGCTCTTTCAGGGTCAGGAGGATGAGACCTGTTATTGTTACTGTTTTTGACATATCGGATACACCCCAGGTAGCTTGTCAGGCTCTACCGTGCATATAAAAAATGAAAAAAATATAATAAACATTGAAAAATTACACTCATGTCAACTGTGTTATCTTGGATAAGTCTCATAATATTGCAGTAATGCACATAGTACTATTATCTTTATTTTTCAAAGATTAAATTCGAGACTTAGGAAGATTAAGTAGCATGTACCAGACAATAATAACTAGCACAATAATGAGTGATTTTTTTTTATTAAAGATTAAGTTAAGATCCAGGATTCAAACTCAGATAATAGATTTCAGAAGCCCAGCTTTGAACTCTAAACCAAAGAAAGCAGAAGATAAAAAGCAAAATGTCTTGATTTCTAATTACTTTTGGAATCAAATGGTAAGATACCAGTTTATTTCCCTGGGGAATGTGGCTTGTGACATGGAAGGGAAGTTGCAAATAAAGCTTATCTCATTTGCTTCCATTTACAAACTGTGGTATATGCTGTTTGTGTGAAGACTATTGTGTTAAATTCCTGCTTTTTTTAATAAAAACTACTAAAAAATTAGATAATAGCATATAATTGATAAAACATAGGGATAAAGGCACGAAAAACAATAGCAATAAATGTTGCTTTCTGCTGGAGACCAGATAGCACAGGGATTGAACCAGAGCTGTGGCATGCAAGGCATGAGCTCCGGTTCACAAAACTTAACTTGATTCTCTAAATAATATTAAACATGAAAATCTTAGCTGCAAGGTTCTGATACTAACCAGAGTCAAAACAGTTGAAAAGGGGTACCCAAATATTTGGGATACAAGAGAATGTACCAAACTTTACTGCACATTATAGTTGACTTCATTGAATTACCTTATATCTTTTTTTAAAAGTTGATTCTTCAGTTTTCATAAACATATCTTATGGCACTCTAACTGGGTGGTTTCTAAAAAGTCAAAAGGCTTCAATTTAGGCACTTTGATCTATGTTGGATCGGACACTTGTCATATTTCCTGGAAAATTCCAGAGAAATCTAACAGTGTCAGAATAGTTTCAAATGATATTAACAAAGGTCAAGGTAGACTTGTCTTCAACAATAAGATGGTATTTTCATAGAATGAAACTTCACATTCATTGTGAAGGCAATTTGAAATCTACTATTTGTCAGCAATTGCCTAAATATTACTCTGGAAAGGAAGCATAATGAAAGACTGAATTTTAAGACCACATCAGTAAAGTGGGACCAGCCACCACCATGCTGAGACCACTCTCCGCACACATGAAGGTACTGGCAGAGAGACAAAGCCACGCGGGTTCCGGGGCCGAGATCTCCAAGCCTACTCAAATTGGAGTCGAGCATCCTCCACCCAGATCCTCCAAATTCCAGTAGGCGGGGGTCACACCCACCACCTGGCCCCCTGGCGCCGTGTAATCCCATCAACGGCCAAGACTCAGAGATTATAAAATTCAGCCTCCGGAACCGCGCGGCCGCAACATCTTATCAGGACATCTTTTTATGACATCTTATTATCTCATTCCTACTTTAGACAAACTTGCAGGCTATCGAATGTAGCCTGCCCACAGAGCAGAGTCTGGCAAACTCCCCATGGCGTACCAAATATGTCAAATACCAGTAACAATGATGGGTCTCATTCTCCTAAAGAGCCTTGAATATAATCTCAGGGCTAGGATGAAGGAGACATTACTGGGGCCTGCTCGAGGCAATCAAAGAATCAGTAAAGTGTGGTACTGAATTTCTTTTGTACAGAAAAAGAAAGTGTCATATCTAAGATTGTTTTTAAAAATCAGATCACATTTGCTGGAATCTTAGGTTTCTTACTGGTCATTAAAGAGTGTGATACATCAGGTTAACTTCATTCTGAATTTTACTTTAAAGTTAATGTGTCTTTCAGTGCAATCTCAGGGATAAATGCGTGCAGGCACTTGGGAAACATGAACTCCTAGATAGAAAGAGAAAACACGTTGTCAGACCAAATGCCATGAATTTTTCTCAGATTTTGTGTTCATTTTCCTAAAATTGGGGGGGGGGGAGTTCCGTTCTGATTGTTCCATGCAGTTGATTCAATGGTTCTTTGGGAAGGGCCCTGTTCTCCAACTTACTTGCATTTCAGAATGTACACAGGAGGCCTGGTAGGAGAAGGAAGGGTAGGTGTCAACAACGTGTTAGTCACCCATCACTGATCAAAAAAAAAAAAAAAAAAAAAAAAAAGAACCGATGACGACTAAACAAAGTCACCGAAACAACCTCAGAAAGAAGCTGTGGACCCAGTCCAGGTAAAGAGCCCGGGAGGCCCGTGGCATTGCGTTTCAAGTCCTCCCACCAAACGGGGGACGCTGCCATCGGGAAGCTGGCTCGGCCACGAGCTGGTGGAAACAGAAAATCAGGGGTAGTGGTGGGGGATTGGGGAGAGTCGGGTGGCCAAAGATCTCCGAAAGATCGCTCGCGGGGAGGGGGGGTGCCCTGGAGAGGCAGAGGAGAAGACCCTTCTCATCCCCACTCTGCGCTCCAGGATCAGCCAGCCCGAGAGGGGTCTGGAGAAGGAGCAGGGGGACGCCGGAGCATCCGAGCATCCTCCGAGAAGAAACTCGTCGCGTCCGAGGCCCCGCGCGCGCGCCCCGGGGCGGCCGGCGTTGCCCGAGCCCTCACTCCCACGCTCTCCCGAGCGTGGGGCGAACGTCACGCGTGACGCCCGGGGCCCTTAACCCCTGGTGCGGCGGCGGGCGCTGCGGGGCGCTGCGGGGCGCTGCGGGCCCCGGAGGCCCGGGCGAGCATCCCAGGAGGGCAGCGGGAGGAGGGCGGAACTTGTCCGGGGAGGGACCGCGCCTCGCGCCCCGCGCCCCGCGCCCCGCGCGCCCCGCGCGCCCCGCGCGCCCCGCGCGCCGTCTGGTACCCGCCGGGCTCGCGGCTCGGCTCCGGGGCCGGGGGCGGGCAGGGGGCCAGGGAGGGGTTCGGGGAGGGGATCAGGGGTTCCGGGAAGGCAGGACCCCCGGCGGTGGTGAGATCCAGCTGGATTCCGAGTCCGGCGCCAGCGACGCCGCCGCGGCGCGGGGGCCGGCGGGCGGGCGCGCGGCGAGGGTTTGGGCCGTGTGTGCGCGCGTTTGTCTGCGCGCGCGTGTGTGTGTCTCTGTGTGTGTGTGTGTGTGCGTGTGTGTGCGCGTGTCTACAGGTAGCAGCGGCGGCGGCGGCGGCGGGGACCCGAGCAGGGGACGCATCTGCAGCCACCTCCCCGCCAGTGATTTTCGGAGGCGATTGCTCACTTAGCTGACGGATCTCTACACCCCCCTCCCCAGGAGATCTCCTCTTCCTCTCCATTTCCACGCGCCTTAGGCGTCTTCCAGTTTCAAGTGTGTGTTGTTTCGGGCATTTGATTTTATTTAATTTTGCAAAAAAAAAAAAAAATTTTTTTTTTCTTCTTCTTCTCTCTTCATCTCCTCCTCGGGATTTCTGCCTTCTCCAAAGCAGGTGGCACCGGGCACGGAATCTTTGGATACGTTGGGCTTGCCAAGTTTTTTTTTCTCTTCCCTTTTCCCCTCCCGCTTTGAAAGGCATCTGTGGTGCTTTTTCCCCCCTTCTTCTTCTTCTTGTTCTTCTTGGATTTATATGCAGCCAACGTCTATCTGTTTCGATACCGGCCGCCGCGTACGAGATAAATCCATCTATCTGCGTGCCCCAGCGCCTGGTGTTCGTGTCTCTCCCCGGCGAGGCGAAGCGGCATGGTTTGGAGCCGATGGATGCGGAGGACAGAATTCACCTTCTTTTGAGCCTGTTTTCGGAAAAGGGGAGGGAGCGCGAAGAATTGTTTAACATTCGGCCATCGTCTGGCTGCACACTAAGCATCGCCAAGTATTTATGGTTGCAGATCAGGTGCAATCGGGGCTTAGAGAGAAAAAGGTAAGGGAGCTCCTCCTGCGTCCTCCGCCCAGCTCCGGTTCCTCTGGGTACCCCGAGAACTTCCCTCTGCCTGTCTCGCCCTCTCCTTCCCACCTTGGCCCACCCTGGCCGGGCTCTGGCTCTTCCCTCCCAGCCGGTCCCCCTTCCCGGGCCCCGAGTCCCTTGGGGTGGCGCGGGTTGCGCTGGGTTGGGCTGGGCTGGGCTGGGCTTGCTGGAGGTGTCCTCGTCGTCTGGTCCGGAGTTTGGATGCTTCTCTCTGTCTCTTGTCTGCTTCTCTGCCTCTGTTTCTCTCTCTGTCTCTTTCTCTCTCTCTGTGTGTGTCTCTCTCTTCCTGTCTCTGTCTGTCTCTCTTTCTCTCTCTCTCTGCTCCTCACCCTCCAGTCGACTCACAGTTTTGCAATCCCCTTTGAACTGTTCTAGGAAATCTTTATTATTATTATTATTATTATTATTATTATTGATAAATGATGCTATCGCAAACGCTGTAAAAAAAATAAAAGCATCTTCCGCTGCTGCCCCCACCTTTCACCTTTGATGAAAATAAAAGCCACGAACCAATACTGAACTTTAGTGAACTGGGTGGTTTCTTTAAGCTCCGGGGGGCGGCGGGGAGGGAGGAGGGGTCGGTCGTGGAGCCTCCGCGATGCTTTTCCTTTTCCCCCCTTTAAAAAAAAAAAAGCCACCCGCTGCCGCCCGAGGAGGAGTCCGCCGCCGCCTTGGAGGAAATTCAGCCGCCGTTTCCTCAGAAGTCAATGCATTTCATTTGGCCGTGGGTGGGTGCGGGGGACGAGACGGAGGCGCGCGTGGGGGCGGGGGCGGGGGTCCTTCTGGCCCGAGTTCCAACACGCCGGGGAGGGCAGAGAGGGGAGCAGGAACCTCACACTTCACGCCCACCCGACCCTCCTCCTCGCCGCCCCCCACTCCACGCTGAACTCCCGGCGGAGGGGCCGCGTGGACGGACTCGACCTTTGGGGGAGAGAGGTGGGAACTTGTCCGCATTTTCCCTGCTCTGCCGCCCACCCCCTTCCTCCTGGACACTGGACATCCCTCGGTTTGGGTTTTTTTTTTTTTTTTTTTTGCTTGTTTTTGCTCAGTGGCCCCGGCGGGTGCCCTCGGCTCTTTTCCACTCCTGGTCCCCGCGGTGCCCTTTTCTTTTCGCGTGCGCTCCGGAGCATCCTCGAGCCTCGAGCATCCTTCTCTGTGCTGGGGGACTCCCGCTTCTGCGCCCCCCACCTGCGCCGGCCTTCCCCGCCTCCCCGCGGCGTCCTGACCCTGCCAGCGCATCCCCCCACCCCACTCTGGGGGGCGTCGCATCTGCAGCTCCGGAGACCCCCAAAGCGCGGGGCCCAGGCGAACCGGAGTCCCGGGCGCAGAGGCCGGGAGACTGAGGCGGCCGGCCGGGTGCAGTCGCCTCCGACGCCTTGGAGCGGCGCCGCTGTCACTGCAGCTTTGCACCCTAGTCTGTGCCCAGGGACCACAGAGACCAGAGGTACCCAAAGGCCGAGCAAGAGCAGGAGCGAGCGAGCTAGCGGGGAGGGTCTCCCGGCGACTGCAGGGACCACGGCCGCCTCCCCGAGCCCACGCGTGCCCGCCCGGCCGAGCGCCCGGGGCCCGCGGGCTGCTGCGGGTGTCTGGCTGCCTCTTGGTTGCTCAGGGGGGATGAGAAAGTTGCTTTTCCAGTGCCCAGTGCTCGGCAGATGGGCGTGCTTTAACTTCAGGGGTCTCTCCCCGGGTCCCCCGCGATGAGCAGCTAATCGCTTGTGCCTTATCGGGCAATCAGCTCCCTGGGGAAGAGAAAGAAGGTGGCCCCAACATTTCCAACAGCTTCCACTGGCTGCTGGCTGTCCCAGCTCCCGGCTCTGTGAGCCTAAAAGCCAAGTCCCCCCCGCCAGGGTAGTGGGAGATGGTTTCGTTTAAGATTTTTGAATGGAAATGATGTGTTCCAAGAGGAGGTGGTTTGGTGAGACAAAGTGGAGGAAAGTGATATTTCATGTGCGGTTCACTTGGGATGCTTCCACATCAAGAGCAGTTAGCGTCTTCCACCGAGATGTTACCTTCTTCGTGGGGATACCTGCAGGACTTAGGGAACGTGGATTGAAGATAACTAACCCTGGGCTTATTACTTTGCCTTTTCATAGACACTTAGTACCTTCTCTTTTTTTTTCCTCCTTGCACTGAAACTGTTTTCACTTGGAGTCTCATGCTGTGCAGGAAAAAAATGATAAATGATAAATGAGTCATATTGTAGTTATCAAAAATTAACTGTGCCCAAGTATGCCTAGGATCGTCGGTATAAAAATCCCACTAAGGAAAGGGTGAGTGCATCTGTCTGAGTGTAAAACCTATAGCAGTGTCTCAGCATTTCGGTCAGCCTGCCGTCACAACGTAGCAGACCACCAGCTTCTTCAACTGTGCTCAGAAGCAAGCCCATGCATGTATTTAAAATGTTAAGTGTCAAGTACAGAAAGATTAAGTTTATTGTGCCCTTGGCACAGAATGAATCAAAGTTTACCTGTACCGCTGAGTGATTGAGTGATTCACGGAGAAAGCAGAAGTTAATCATTACTCAGGCCTTCTGATTACACGGTTTGATTAAAAGAAGCAACTGTTTTCTGTAAGCCTGCTATTCTGTGGTTCGTCTTTCCAATCCTCTTAACTGAAGCAGAAATTGAGGGCGCCAGTCTTTCACAGGACTCTATTAGAGTTCCTGCAGGGAAGAAAAGCCCTCTTTAGCTTCTCTCCTCTCAACTTTTCTGCCTTCTACCCCCAAAACAACTTTTTTTATCAGTTTTTTCTTTGTTCCTGCGGTGGGGTTTCACCCTGCAAATTTTTTTCTTATAGTTGCTTTGCATATTTTCTAGTAGTACAAGTGTTGCTGTTGTTTTCAAATGAGAAGTGGACTATAAATTAACTCAGGATGAGAAATATATTTGCTGCAGGTAGAGTGTTTGAAAGCTCGATGACTCTTTGCCTGGCTGGATGAATCCCCTGAATCAGTCTCTAAAGTCTCTTGCAATGTGGAATCTTCATATCTTTATGACTTCCATATGGTTATCCAATGACAGAATCTATGACTTTCGTCAAATTTCCTTTACTTTGGTAGATTTTTCACAGACTACGTATGTGGATATAGTTAGAGAATATAGATGAAAAACTAAGCTTTCTGAGTTTTGAAAAAATAATGGACATAAACTTTAACATTATTAGCACAACTGTGAGGCAATATGAATAAACATGTAGCTACTGGGTTCCATGCTTTTTAAAAATTAATTAATTAATTAATTTATTTACTTTTTGGGGTCCCATGTTTTGTAGCAAAATTTTTAAACTTTTTTAAACCAGCCATGATGATAGTTTTATTTCTAGAATGCTTTTAATTTTTACACGAAGGAAGTATGACTTACCCAACAGATACTAATTTGTAATTTTTGTAAAGACACAATTTGAATTAAGGGTAAGATTTGAAATCAGAGCAGTCTAACACTACACACTTCTGCCACAGTTTTGGTTTGATGTCAGTTTATCTCTTCTTGGATTGTAAGTAGGAAATAGGATTCTCGACTTATTTTAAATTCATTTGTAAATGACATCATCCACAACCATTAAGGTTATTTTTCATTTTATGGTCATTATTTTAAAGCATGGGCCTGTGTAAGGGAATGCTTATGAATAAGAATCAGTTGTTCCTAATGATTTGGATGCTCATGGTCTGAATGCTGAGGAATTTTATTCTTATCCCAAATGGATTCCAACTTCCCTCTTAGGTGAAAGCCCCACCTACCTGGAGCTCCTTGACTCTTCCATTCACTAGACTCAACTCTTTTATCCACTGGCCTCTAGACTTGTGTGTATATTATGTTGACCTTCCAGATTTACTGTCCCCACTCCCACCCACACCCCCAGTTGGATGACTCCAGAACCTTTTCTGTCCTTAGAATGCTCTTTTCTCTACCCAACTGCTTCCTTGCTACATTCTCACTTCCATTATCAAACCAGGATTTTCAAAAGGAGAAGTCCCTCTTTTCACGTTTGCAGCTGTCCCCCCAATGGACAGGAAGTCCCAGAGGTCAGAAATCACACTTGATTTATCATTTTATTAAGAAACGCTTAGTGTCTTGTCGGGAAATATATCACAAATGAAGGGTAACTGCATACACACTTGGTTATAAGGTTACAGATAATCTGGCTAAAAATGAAATAAAAATGTGGTCACAGCTCACATAAGAAGAAATCAGTAGACAACAGATTGCTTTAACATTAATTAAGAAATCAGACTTTCATTTATTATCTCTGTTTTTTTCTTTACTGGTCAGGATATTGTTTCTGTACCTTCAGCATCATTTCCACTTTCAAGTGGAAAGCTCAAAAAAGGAGAGATAAGAAAAAAAGGGGAATCTATCTCAAGAGTCTCAACTTTGACATTGTTGTCATTTGGGGTCAGAATAGTCTTTATTTTTGTTGTGTGAGGGTGTTGGGGATAATTTATATATTATAAGATATTTACCAGTGTCCCTATCCCTGCTAAGGGTTGGTTGCACACCCCACCTACCAACTGCTTTATGACAGTCAAGACTGTTTCTGAACTTTGCTGATCAGCAAAGTCCTTGGAGTAAAACCATCCTGGGTTGACAATATTTGCTCTGGAATCAGAAGGAAGGACATTTCTTGATTCTCAGCCCCTTAGCAGATGGGGAGCTGTTAGCGTTTTTGTTTTTGCCTTTGTTTTCTTGGTTAACAAATGGTGCAGAACCCTTTATGTGATCTTAAAAAAGAAAAGGAAGAAGTCAAAGAGGGCCATAGAAGACTTCACTTTGGGCACATTATCTTTTTGTTGTTGTTTGTGTTGTGGACATTCTTGACTTAGATTTTCGTTTTTATATCATAGCCAGAACTGTCAGATGTCTACTTCTGAATGGTTAAGTGGTTAAGAAATTTACTTTTCATGTCGTATTTCCCTACTATGCAGACAATCATAATCTGTGTAAAAATAAAGGGGAATT